AAGTAGGGACAGTATGGAGCGGTATGGGCAGTATAGACCAGTATAAACCAGTTTATACCAGTATAAACCACTTTAAACCAGTATAAACCACTTTAAACTAGTATAAACCAGTATAAACCAGTAGAGACAGTATAGAGCAGTGTGGAGCGGTATGGGCAGTATAGACCAGTAGGAGCCAGTATAAACCAGTATAGAGCAGTGTGGACAGTGTAGACCAATATAAACCAATATAGACCAGTATAAACTAGTATAAACCAGTATAGGTCTGTGGGGACCAGTAGGAACCAGTATGAGCTATGTAGACCAGTACAAACCAGTGCAAACCAGTATGAACCAGTATAGACAAGTGTGAGGATGTACGGATAGTATAGACCAGTATAAACCAGTATGGCTTCCCAGTGCCCCCCAATCCCCTCCCAGTCCCTCCCAGTGACCCCCAGACCCCAAACCAGTAACTCCCAGTCCCTCCCAGTAACCCCAACCCCCCCCTTAAACCCCCTTTAACTCCCTCCCAGTCCAAACCAGTCCCTCCCAGTCCCTCCCAGTGCCCCCCACTCCCTCCCAGTGCCCCCTCACTCCTTCCCAGTCCCCTCCCAGTGACCCCCAGACCCCAAACCAGTAACTCCCAGTCCCTCCCAGTGACCCCCAGACCCCAAACCAGTAACTCCCAGTTCCTCCCAGTTACCCCAAAGCCCCCCTTAAACCCCCTTTAACTCCCTCCCAGTCCCATCCCAGTGACCCAGTCCCCTCCCAGTCCCTCCCAGTGCCTCCCAGTGCCCTCCCAGTCTATCCCAACCCCCTCCCAGTGACCCCCAGACCCCAAACCAGTAACTCCCAGTCCCTCCCAGTTACCCCAAATCCCCCCTTAAACCCCCTTTAACTCCCTCCCAGTCCAAACCAGTCCCTCCCAATTTGATCCCAGTCCCTCCCAGTGCCCCCCAATCCCCTCCCAGTCACTCCCAGTCCCTCCCAGACCCCAAACCAGTAACTCCCAGTCCCTCCCAGTTAACCCCAACCCCCCCAAATCCCTCCTTAAACCCCCTTTAACCCCCTCCCAGTCCAATCCAGTCCCTCCCAATTCGATCCCACTCCCTCCCACTCCAAACCAGTTTATCCCAACCCCCTCCCAGTCCCTCCCAGTCCAACCCAGTCCCCCCAATCCTCTCCCAGTCCCTCCCAGTGTCCCCAATTCCCTTTAAACCCACTTTAACCCCCTCCCAGTCCTCCCAGTCCAAACCAGTCTATCCCATTCTATCCCAACCCCTCCCAGTCGCCCCCAGTGCCCTCCCAGTCTATCCCAGTTCATCCCAACCCCTCCCAGTGCCCCCACTCCTTCCCAGTCCCTCCCAGTGCCCCCAATCCCCCCAGTCCCTCCCAGTCCAAACCCAGTACTCCCACCCCTCCTAGTCCCTCCCAGTCCCTCCCAGTCCCTCCCAGACCCCAAACCATTAACTCCCAGTCCCTCCCAGTTACCCCAAATCCCCCTTAAACCCCCTTTAACTCCTCCCAGTCCAAACCAGTCCCTCCCAATTATCCCAGTCTCTCCCAGTGCCTCCCAATCCCTTCCAGTCACTCCCAGTCCCTCCCAGACCCCAAACCAGTAACTCCCAGTCCCTCCCAGTTACCCCAAACCCCCCCAAATCCCCCCATAAACCCTCTTTAACCCCCTCCCAGTCCCTCCCAGTCCCTTCCAGTCCCTCCCAATTCGATCCCAGTCCCTCCCAGTCCAAACCAGTCCATCCCAAGCCCCTCCCAGTGCCCTCCCAGTATAACCCAGTCCCCCCCAATCCCCCCCCCAGTTCGCTGCCCACGAGGACGACGTGAACGCCGTGGCCGTCGGGGACCCCTCGGGGCAGCTGCTCCTGTCGGGGGGGGACGACGGACTGGTCCGGAACTGGGACCGGCGCTGCCTCCCCGGGGGCCCCACGGGGGTCCTGGCCGGGCACCGGGACGGGGTCACCTTCCTGCACCCCAGGGTGGGCACTGGGACGCACTGGGAGGGCACTGGGACAAACTGGGAGGCACTGGGAGGGAGTTAAAGGGGATTTAGGGGGTTTAGGGGGTTTGGGGTTACTGGTTTGGACTGGGAGGGCACTGGGAGGGGGTTGGGAGGGGGTTGGGGGTCACTGGGAAGCACTGGGAGGGGATTGGGAGTCACTGGGTGTCACTGGTTTATACTGGGAGGCACTGGGAGGGGGTTAAAGGGGGATCGGGGTGTTACTGGTTTGCACTGGGAGGGGTTACTGGTCCGGAACTGGGACCGGCGCTGCCTCCCCGGGGGCCCCACGGGGGTCCTGGCCGGGCACCGGGACGGGGTCACCTTCCTGCACCCCAGGGTGGGCACTGGGACAAACTGGGAGGGCACTGGGATAAACTGGGAGGCACTGGGAGGGGTTAAAGGGGTTAAAGGGGGATTTGGGGGGATTTGGGGTTACTGGTTTGGACTGGGAGAGCACTGGGAGGGCACTGGGAGGGGATTGGGGGTCACTGGGAGGGACTGGGAGGGCACTGGGGGTCACTGGGGGTCACTGGTTTATACTGGGAGGCACTGGGAGGGAGTTAAAGGGGGATGAGGGGGTTACTGGTTTGGACTGGGAGGGCACTGGGAGGGGGTTGGGGATCACTGGTTTGGACTGGGAGGAGATTGGGGGGCACTGGGAGGCACTGGGAGGGGATTGGGGGTCACTGGGGGTCACTGGTTTATACTGGGAGGCACTGGGAGGGACTGGGAGGGAGTTAAAGGGGGATCAGGGGGGTTACTGGTTTGCACTGGGAGGGGTTACTGGGATGGACTGGGAGGGCCCCACGGGGGTCCTGGCCGGGCACCGGGACGGGGTCACCTTCCTGCACCCCAGGGTGGGCACTGGGACGCACTGGGAGGGCACTGGGACAAACTGGGAGGGACTGGGAGGGACTGGGAGGGCACTGGGAGGGGACGAGTTAAAGGGGGTTAAGGGGGTTTGGGGTTACTGGTTTGGACTGGGAGGGCACTGGGAGGATTGAGCTGGGAGGGGTCACTGGGAGGTCACTGAGAGGACTGGGAGGTGACTGGAGATACTGGAGTCACGGTGGTTTAAACTGTGAAAGGCACTTTGGGAGGTAACTAGAGGAGTCAAGTATGACCAGGCACTGGAGGGCACTTTGGGGATTGAACTGGAATGGTTGGGAGTACTAGGAGGCACTGGGATGATTGAGGACTGGGAGTAAGCTAAACTGGAGTTGAAATGGGCTCCGGTGACACTGGTTTGAACTGGGAGGAGCACTGGGAGGGGATTGAGGGGCACTGGGAGGGGCTGGGGGTCAACTGGGAGGGACTGGGAGGGGATTGGGGTCACTGGTTTATACTGGGAGGCACTGGGAGGGGATTGGAAGTTAAAGGGGGATTGGGGTAACTGGGAGGGACTGGGAGGGCACTGGGGTGGGATTGCACTGGGAGGGGTTGGGAGTCACTGGGAGGCACTGGGAGGGATTGGGGGTCACTGGTTTATACTGGGAGGGACTGGGAGGGGGTTAAAGGGGTTAAAGGGGGATTTGGGGGAACTGGTTTGGACTGGGAGGGCACTGGGAGGGGATTGGGGGACACTGGGAGAGACTGGGAGGGATTGGGGGTCACTGGGAGGGAGTGGGGTCACTGGTTTATACTGGGAGGCACTGGGAGGGAGTTAAAGGGATTTGGGGTAACTGGTTTGGACTGGGGGGCACTGGGAGGGGATTGGGGGGCACTGGGAGGGACTGGGAAGAGCCTTTGGTGAACTGGGATGAACTGGGATGAACCGGGAATGGCTTTGTGGTCAACAGGGTTGAACTGGGATGGACTGGGGTGAACTGGGGTGAACTGGGAAGGGTCACAGGTCAACTGGGGTCAACTGGGATGAACTGGGGTCAACTGGGGTCAACTGGGAAGAGTCTTTGGAACAACTGGGAAGAGTCGTTGGTCAACTGGGATGGACTGGGATGAACTGGGTCTAACTGAACGGGGTGAACTGGGATGAACTGGGGTGGGACCTGAGGGGGTCGCTGGCTAATGGGGTCAACTGGGATCAATGGGGGTCAACTGGGAAGAGTCTTTGGCCAACTGGGGTCAACAACTGGGAAGGGGCGTTGGTCAACTGGGATGGACTGGGATGAACTGGGAATGGCTCCAATTGGGATCAACGGGGTTGAACTGGGACCAACTGGGATGAACTGGGGTGAACTGGGAAGGGTCTGGGGTCAACTGGGGTCAACTGGGGTCAACTGGGATCAACTGGGATCAATGGGGGTCAACTGGGAAGAGTCTTTGACCAACTGGGGTCAACAACTGGGAAGAGTCGTTGGCCAACTGGGATGGACTGGGATGGGGTCTGGGGTCAACTGGGGTTGAACTGGGATGAACTGGGGTGAACTGGGAAGGGGTCTGGGGTCAACTGGGGTCAACTGGAAAGAGCCTTTGGCCAACTGGGAAGAGCCTTTGGTCAACTGGGGTCAACAACTGGGAAGAGTCGTCGGTCAACTGGGATGGACTGGGATGGGCTCTGGGATCAACGGGGTTGAACTGGGATCAACTGGGATGAACTGGGGTGAACTGGGAAGGGTCTGGGGTTAACTGGGGTCAACTGGGGTCAACTGGGAAGAGCCTTTGGCCAACTGGGGTCAACAACTGGGAAGAGTCGTTGGTCAACTGGGATGGACTGGGAATGGCTCTGGGGTCAACGGGGTTGAACTGGGATGAACTGGGAAGGGGTCTGGGGTCAACTGGGATCAATGGGGGTCAACTGGGAAGAGCCTTTGGCCAACTGGGAAGAGCCTTTGGTCAACTGGGACGAACTGGGACGAACCCGAAATGGCTCCAATTGCGATGGGATTGAACTGGGAAGGCCTGGGGTGGTAACTGGGATAAACTGGGATGAACTGGTGTGTACTGGTGGCAGGGGGACGGGCGCTACGTGGTGTCCAACTCCAAGGACCAGTCGGCCAAGCTGTGGGATCTGCGGCGCCCGGCGGGGCCCGGCGGGGTCGAGGCCGCCCGGAGAGCGGTGGCCAAACAGAACTGGGACTACCGGTGGCAGAGGGCGCCCCCCCACGGTCTGGGGGCAAACTGGGGGGCACTGGGAGGCACTGGGAGGCACTGGGAGGCACTGGGAGGGACTGGGAGGTGGTTGGGTTGAACTAGGAGGGACTGGTTTGGACTGGGAGGGAGTTAAAGGGGGATTTGGGGTAACTGGGAGGGACTGGGAGTTACTGGTTTGGGGTCTGGGGGTCACTGGGAGTCACTGGGGGGCACTGGGAGTTACTGGTTTGGGGTCTGGGGGTCACTGGGAGTCACTGGGAGGCACTGGGAGTTACTGGTTTGGGGTCTGGGAGGGACTGGGGGGCACTGGGAGGCACTGGGAGGGCACTGGGAGGGCACTGGGAGTTGTTACTGGGAGTTACTGGGAGCGGTGGCCAAACAGAACTGGGACTACCGGTGGCAGAGGGCGCCCCACGGTCTGGGGCAAACTGGGGGCGAACTGGGAGGCACTGGGGGGCACTGGGGGGCACTGGGAGGGACTGGGAGGTGGTTGGGTTAAACTGGGAGGCACTGGGAGGGAGTTAAAGAGGTTTTAAGGGGGATTTGGGGTAACTGGGAGGGACTGGGAGTTACTGGTTTGGGGTCTGGAGTTACTGGGAGTTACTGGTTTGGGGTCTGGGAGGGACTGGGAGTCAACTGGGAGGAGTTGGGGTCTGGGAGGGACTGGGGGCACTGGGAGGCACTGGGAGGCCACTGGGAGGGACTGGGAGTGACTGGGAGCGACGGTTAAAGACTGGGACACTGTGGGGGCCACGGTCTGGGGGAGGGACTGGGAGCAGACTGGGAGCACTGGGAGGCACTGGGAGGCACTGGGAGGCACTGGGAAGTGGTTGGGTTAAAATGGGAGGGACTGGGAGGGAGTTAAAGGGGGTTTAAAGGGGGATTTGGGGTAACTGGGAGGGACTGGGAGTTACTGGTTTGGGGTCTGGAGTTACTGGGAGTTACTGGTTTGGGGTCTGGGAGGGACTGGGGGGCACTGGGAGGCACTGGGAGGTGGTTTGGTTGAACTGGGAGGGACTGGGAGGGAGTTAAAGGGGGTTAAAGGGGGATTTGGGGTAACTGGGAGGGACTGGGAGGGGATTGGGGGGCACTGGGAGGGACTGGGAGTCACTGGGAGTGACTGGGAGTTACTGGGAGCTACTGGGACCAAGTGGGACCAACTGGGAGTGACAGGGACATACTGGGACTAACTGGGACATACTGGGAGATACTGGGAGTGACTGGGAGTTACGAGGACATACTGGGAGAGACTGGGAGATACTGGGAGTGATTGGAAGCAACTGGGACATACTGGGAGCAACTGGGACATACTGGGACTAACTGGGACATACTGGGAGATACTGGGAGTGACTGGGAGTTACGAGGACATACTGGGACCAACTGGGACATACTGGGAGTGATTGGAAGCAACTGGGACATACTGGGAGCAACTGGGACATACTGGGACTAACTGGGACATACTGGGAGATACTGGGAGTGACTGGGAGTTACGAGGACATACTGGGACCAACTGGGACATACTGGGAGTGACTGGGAGTTACTGGGAGCAACTGGGACCAACTGGGACATACTGGGAGCAACTGGGACCAACTGGGAGCAACTGGGAGTGACTGGGACATACTGGGAGCGACTGGGACCAACTGGGACCAACTGGGAGTGACTGGGAGTGACTGGGACATACTGGGAATGACTGGGACGAACTGGAAGGAACTGGGAGTGACTGGGAGCAACTGGGAGTTACTGGGACCAACTGGGAGCAACTGGGACATACTGGGAGCTACTGGGAGTGTCTAGGAGCGACTGGGAGCAACTGGGACATACTGGGAGTGACTGGGACCAACTGGGACCAACTGGGACATACTGGGAGTGACTGGGACCAACTGGGAGTGACTGGGACATACTGGGAGCAACTGGGACATATTGGGAGCAACTGGGACATACTGGGAGCTACTGGGAGTGTCTAGGAGCGACTGGGACCAACTGGGACATACTGGGAGTGACTGGGACATATTGGGAGCTACTGGGACATACTGGAACATACTGGGAGTGACTGGGAGCAACTGGGACATACTGGGAGCTACTGGGAGTGACTGGGACATACTGGGACCAACTGGGAGTGACTGGGAGCTACTGGGACGTACTGGGAGTTACTGGGACCAACTGGGACATACTGGGAGTTACTGGGACATACTGGGACCAACTGGGACATACTGGGAGTTACTGGGACAAACTGGGACCACCTGGGACATACTGGGAGCTACTGGGATATACTGGGAGTGACTGGGACCAACTGGGACATACTGGGAGCTACTGGGAGTGTCTAGGAGCGACTGGGAGCAACTGGGACATACTGGGTATGACTGGGACCAACTGGGAGTGACTGGGACATACTGGGACCAACTGGGAGCAACTGGGACCCACTGGGACATACTGGGAGTGACTGGGACCAACTGGGACATACTAGGAGTGACTGGGAGCTACTGGGACATACTGGGAGTTACTGGGAGCAACTGGGACATACTGGGACCAACTGGGAGCAACTGGGAGTGACTGGGACATACTGGGACCAACTGGGACATACTGGGAGCTACTGGGAGTGTCTAGGAGCGACTGGGACCAACTGGGACATACTGGGACATACTGGGAATGACTGGGATGAACTGGAAGCAACTGGGCTGAGCTGGGACATACTGGGAGTTACTGGGACATACAGGGACCAACTGGGACATACTGGGAGTTACTGGGAGCAACTGGGAGCTACTGGGTCATACTGGGAGTGTCTAGGACCGACTGGGACCAATTGGGACATACTGGGAGCGACTGGGACCAACTGGGAGCGACTGGGAGTGTCTAGGAGCAACTGGGACCAACTGGGACATACTGGGAGTGACTGGGACCAACTGGGAGTGACTGGGACCAACTGGGAGTTACTGGGAGCTACTGGAACCAATTGGGACCAACTGGGAGCAACTGGGAGTGACTGGGACATACTGGGAGTGACTGGGACCAACTGGGAGTGACTGGGACATATTGGGAGCTACTGGGACATACTGGGACATACTGGGAGTGACTGGGACATACTGGGAGTGACTGGGAGTGACTGGGACATATTGGGAGCTACTGGGCCAACTGGGACATACTGGGAGTGACTGGGACCAACTGGGTGTGACTGGGACCAACTGGGAGTGACTGGGAGCTACTGGAACAAATTGGGAGCTACTGGAAGCAACTGGGTTGAACTGAGACAAACTGGGACATACTGGGACCAACTGGGACGTACTGGGACATACTGGGATGAACTGGAAGCAACTGGGCTGAACTGGGACATACTGGGAGCTACTGGGACCAACTGGGACATACTGGGACCAACTGGGAGTTACTGGGAGCTACTGGAACCAACTGGGACCAACTGGGAGTTACTGGGAGCTACTGGAACCATTTGGGAGCTACTGGGACATACTGGGACATACTGGGAGTTACTAGGGCATACTGGGAGCTACTGGGAGTGTCTAGGAGCGACTGGGACCAACTGGGACATACTGGGAGTTACTGGGAGTGACTGGGACCAACTGGGAGTGACTGGGAGCAACTGGGTTGAACTGGGACATACTGGGAGCAACTGTGACCAACTGGGACCAACTGGGACCAACTGGGAGTTACTGGAAGCAACTGGGTTGAACTGGGACCAACTGGGACATACTGGGACATACTGGGACTGAGTGGGCGTGTCCCCCCAGCCCGCCAGGCCACGCCCCTGCCGGGTGACGCGTCCCTGGTGACGTTCCGGGGTCACGTCGTGCTCCAGGGGGCGTGGCCTCAACTGGGACCCACTGGGACATACTGGGAGTTACTGGGAGTGACTGGGAGTGACTGGGAGGGACTGGGACATACTGGGAGTGACTGGGACCAACTGGGAGTTACTGGGACCAACTGGGAGTGACTGGGAGCGACTGGGACCAACTGGGACCAACTGGGACATACTGGGACATACTGGGAGTTACTAGGGCATACTGGGACATACTGGGAGTGACTGAGAGCAACTGGGACCAACTGGGACATACTGAGACATACTGGGAGTGTCTAGGAGCGACTGGGACCAACTGGGACATACTGGGACATACTGGGAGCTACTGAGACATACTGGGAGCTACTGGGACATACTGGGAGCGACTGGGACCAACTGGGACATACTGGGACCAACAGGGAGCTACTGGAATCAATTGGGAGCTACTGGAAGCAACTGGGTTGAGCTGGGACATACTGGGAGTTACTGGGAGTGACTGGGAGCAACTGGGAGTGACTGGGACATACTGGGAGTGACTGGGAGTGACTGGGACCAACTGGGAGTGACTGGGAGTGACTGGGACATATTGGGAGCGACTGGGAGTGACTGGGAGCTACTGGAACCAATTGGGAGTTACTGGAACCAACTGGGACAAACTGGGAGCTACTGGGAGTGTCTAGGAGCAACTGGGACCAACTGGGAGTTACTGGGAGCTACTGGAACCAATTGGGAGCTACTGGGAGCAACTGGGACATACTGGGACCAACTGGGACCAACTGGGAGTGTCTAGGAGCGACTGGGACCAACTGGGACCAACTGGGAGTGACTGGGAGCAACTGAGACATACTGGGAGCTACTGGGAGTGTCTAGGAGTGACTGGGACCAACTGGGACATACTGGGAGTGACTGGGACATACTAGGACATACTGGGACTAACTGGGACATACTGGGACATACTGGGACATACTGGGATGAACTGGAAGCAACTGGGCTGAGTTGGGACATACTGGGAGTGACTGGGAGCAACTGAGACAAACTGGGAGTGACTGGGAGCTACTGGGACCAACTGGGAGCTACTGGAAGCAACTGGGTTGAACTGGGACATACTGGGACATACTGGGACTGAGTGGGCGTGTCCCCCCAGCCCGCCAGGCCACGCCCCTGCCCGGTGACGCCTCCCTGGTGACGTTCCGGGGTCACGTCGTGCTCCAAACCCTCGTGCGCTGCCGCCTCGCCCCGCCCGGAGCCGCCCCCGCCCTGGCGGCCGCCAGCGCTGACGGGGACGTGCTGGGTGAGCAGAAACAACCCAAAAAATAACCCAAAATGCCTCGAAATAACCCAAAAATGCCCCAAAAATACAAAAAACCCAAAAAAACCCACCCCGAAATAACCCAGAAACCACCTAAAATACCCCAAAAACAAAAAAAAACACCCCAAAATACCCCAAAACCCACCTAAAATACCCCCAAAATACCCCGAAATACCCCAAAAACCACCTGAAATACCCCAAAATACCCCAAAATCACCAAAAAACCACCCTGAAATACCCCAAAAACAAAAAAAAAAAATCCAAAAAAATACCCCCAAAACCACCTCAAAATACCCAAAAAACGAAAAAAAACCACCCCAAAATACCCCAAAAACCACCCCAAAATACCCCAAAACCCAAAAAAACCCCACCCCAAAACCAAAAAAAACCCACCCCAAAATACCCAAAAAAACCAACCCAAAATACCCCAAAAAACCCCAAAATAGCCCAAAATGGCAGGAGGGGGCGTGGCTTGGTTAAGGAGGGGGCGTGGCTCAGTGGGAGGGGCGTGGTTTAGAGTAAAAGGGGGCGTGGCCACGCCCGGAGCCACCCCCGCCCTGGCGGCCGCCAGCGCTGATGGGGACGTGCTGGGTGAGCAGAAACAACCCCAAAAATACCCTAAAATCACCAAAAAAACAAAAAAAACACCCCAAAATTACCCCGAAATACCCCAAAATCATCCCAAAATACCCCAAAACAGCAACAAAACCACCCCAAAATACCCCCAAAACCCACCTGAAATACCTTCGAAATACCCCAAAAACCACCAAAAATACCCCAAAAAACAAAAAAAAAACACAAAAACATACCCCAAAAACACCCCAAAATACCAAAAAAACAAAAAAAAACCCACCCCGAAGTACCGCGAAACACCTCGAAATAACCCAAAACCAAAAAAAAAATCACCCCAAAATACCCCAAAAACCAAAAAAACCTCACCCCAAAAATACCCCAAAATCACCCCAAAATACCCCCCAAAACAAAAAAAAAACCTCACCCCAAAATACCCCAAAAAAACCCTAAAATAGCCCAAAATGGCAGGAGGGGGCGTGGCTTGGTTACGGAGGGGGCGTGGCTGAGTCTGAGGGGCGTGGCTTAGAGCAAAAGGGGCGTGGCCACGGCCCCGCCCTGGCGGCCGCCAGCGCCAACGGGGACGTGCTGGGTGAGCACGAACAACCCCAAAACAACCCCAAATATGCCTCGAAATAACCCAAAATCACCCCAAAAATACACAAAACAGCAACAAAACCACCCCAAAATACCCCAAGCCCACCTGAAATACCTCATGAATACCCTGAAAACCACCAAAATACCCCAAAACCAAAAACACCCAAAACATACCCCATAAAACACCCCAAAATACCCCAAAACCAAAACAAACCACCCAGTACCGAAAATCACCTCAAAATAACCCAAACCAAAAAATCACCCCAAAATACCCCAAAAACCTAAAAACCTACGTAAAATACCCCAAAATCACCTCAAAATACCCCAAACAACCAAAAACCTCACCCCAAAATACCCCAAAAAAACCCTAAAATAGCCCAAAATGGCAGGAGGGGGCGTGGCTTGGTTACGGAGGGCGCGAGGCTGAGTCTGAGGGGCGTGGCCTAGAGCGGCAGGGCGTGGCCACGGCCTCGCCCTGGCGGCCGCTAGCGCCATGAGGGACGTGCTGGGTGAGCACGAACAACCCCAAAAATACCCCCAAAATAACCCAAAAACCACCTAAAATACAAAAAAAACCACCTAAAATGCCCCAAAATACCCCAAAACCCACCTAAAATACCCCAAAAACAAAAAAAACCACCCCAAAATACCCCAAAACCCACCTAAAATACCCCCAAAATCACCCCAAAAAACCTTCCTAAAATACCCCAAAATCACCCCAAAATACCCCGAAAACCACCTAAAATACCCCCAAAACACCCAAAATACCCCAAAAATACCAAAAAACCCAAAAAAACCCACCCCGAAATAACCCAAAAACCACCTAAAATACCCCCAAAACACCCCAAAATAATCCAAAAACAATAAAAAAAATTACCCCAAAATATTCCAAACAATGACAAAAACCACCCCAAAACCCACCTAAAATACCCCAAAAACACCCCAAAATACCCCCAAAATAACCCAACCCCCCCAAAAAAAAACCCACTCCAAAAACCACCAAAACCAAAAAAAACCAAAAATATCCCAAAATGTCTGGCTTTTCCCCCAAATTTTCCCCAAATTTTTCTTAAATTTTCTCAAATTTCTCCCAAAATTTCCCCAAATTTTCCCCTTTTTCCCCAAAATCCCCCCGTTTTTCCCCCAGATTTTCCCCAAATTTTCCCCACATTTCCCTTTTTTCCCTGAATTTTCCCCAAATTTTCCCCCTTTTTTCCCCAAAATTTCCCCAAATTCCCCCCTATTTTCCCCAAATTTTCCCCAAATTTTTCCCAAATTTTCTCCAAATTTTCCCCTTTTTGCCCCAAATTTCCCCCATTTTTCCCTTTAAATTTTCCCCTTTTTCCCCAAATTTCCCAAATTTTCCCCAAATTTTCCTCTTTTCCCCCAAATTTCCCCTTTTCCCCCAAATTTTCCCCAATTTTTCCCAAAATTTTCCCCAAATTTCCCCCTTTTTTCCCCAAATTTTCCCCAAATTTCCCCAAAATTTTCCCCAAAATTCCCCCCAAATTTTCCCCTTTTTTCCCCAAATTCCCCCAAATTTTCCCTAAATTCTTCCATTTTTCCCCAAATTTTTCCCTTTTTCCCCAAATTCCCCAATTTGTCCCTTTTTACCCAAAATCACCATTTTTTACCCTACATTTTACCCTTTTCTTCCCCCAAATTCCACCATTTCCCCCCAAATTTTCCCATTTTTTCTTTAAATTTTCCCGTTTTTTCCCCCAAATTTCCCCCAAATTTTCCCCAAATTTTCCCCAAATTTCCCCAATTTTTCCCCAAATTTGCCCCTTTTTTCCCCAAATTCCCCTCAAATTTTCCCGTTTTCCCCCTAAATTTTCCCCAAATTTCCCCCTTTTTTCCCTGAATTTTCCCCAAATTTTCCCCAAATTTTCCCCTTTTTACTCCAAGTTTTCCCTGAATTTTTGACCCAAAATTTCCCCAAATTTTCCCCAAATTTCCCCAAAATTTTCCCCAAATTTCCCCTTTTATTTCTAAATTCCCCAAATTTCTTCCTTTTTACCCAAAATTACTATTTTTTACCCCAAATTTTCCCATTTTTCCCCTAAATTTGTTCATTTTCCCCCAAACTTTCCACTTTTTGGCCCCAAATTTCCCCAAATTTCCCCCAAATTCCCAAAAATTTTCCCTTTTTTTTCTAAACCCCCCAAATTTCTCCCTTTTTGCCCAAAATCCCCGTTTTTCTCCCCAGTTTACGACGTGCTGAGCGGGCGCCCCCGGCGGCGCCTGAGGGGTCACAGCGGCTGCGTCCGGGACGTGGCCTGGACCCCAACTGGGGACAGACTGGGAACTGCTGGGGTAACTGGGAGGCACTGGGAGAGACTGGGAGGGGATTGGGAGGGGATTGGGGGTCACTGGTTTGGACTGGGAGGGACTGGGAGAGGATTGGGGGGCACTGGGAGGGACTGGTTTGGACTGGGAGGGAGTTAAAGGGGGTTAAAGGGGGATTTGGGGTCACTGGGAGGGACTGGGAGTTACTGGTTTGGGGTCTGGGGGGGACTGGGAGGCACTGGTTTATACTGGGAGGGCATTGGGGGTCACTGGTTTATACTGGGAGGGCATTGGGGGTCACTGGTTTATACTGGGAGGGCATTGGGGGTCACAGCGGCTGCGTCCGGGACGTGGCCTGGACCCCAACTGGGGACAGACTGGGAACTGCTGGGGTAACTGGGAGGCACTGGGAGAGACTGGGAGGGGATTGGGAGGGGATTGGGGGTCACTGGTTTGGACTGGGAGGGACTGGGAGAGGATTGGGGGGCACTGGGAGGGACTGGTTTGGACTGGGAGGGAGTTAAAGGGGGTTTAAGGGGGGATTTGGGGTAACTGGGAGGGACTGGGAGTTACTGGTTTGGGGTCTGGGGGGGACTGGGAGGCACTGGTTTATACTGGGAGGGCATTGGGGGTCACTGGTTTATACTGGGAGGGCATTGGGGGGCACTGGTTTATACTGGGAGGGCATTGGGGGTCACTGGTTTATACTGGGAGGGCATTGGGGGTCACTGGTTTATACTGGGAGGGGATTGGGGGTCACTGGTTTATACTGGGAGGGCATTGGGGGTCACAGCGGCTGCGTCCGGGACGTGGCCTGGACCCCAACTGGGGACAGACTGGGAACCGCTGGGGTAACTGGGAGGCACTGGGAGGGGATTGGGAGGCACTGGGAGGCACTGGGAGGCACTGGGAGGGACTGGGAGGTGGTTGGGTTAAACTGGTTTGGACTGGGAGGGAGTTAAAGGGGGTTAAAGGGGGATTTGGGGTAACTGGGAGGCACTGGGAGTTACTGGTTTGGGGTCTGGGGGGCACTGGGAGGGACTGGGAGGCACTGGGAGGGGATTGGGGGGCACTGGGAGGGACTGGGAGGGGATTAAAACAAACTGGGAGGGACTGGGAGGGGATTGGGGGGCACTGGGGGTCACTGGGAGCCTCCTGGGGGGTCACTGGTCCATACTGGTTTATACTGGTTTGGGCTCTGGGGGTCACTGGGGGTCACTGGGGGTCACTGGGAGCCCCGTGGGGGGTCACTGGTCCATACTGGTCCATACTGGTCCATACTGGTTTATACTGGTTTATACTGCTTTGGGGTCTGGGGGTCACTGGGAGTCACTGGGGGTCACTGGGGGGGTCACTGGTCCATACTGGTCCATACTGGTTTATACTGGTTTGGGCTCTGGGGGTCACTGGGAGTCACTGGGGGTCAGTGGGGGGGTCACTGGTCCATACTGGTTTATACTGGTTTGGGGCCTGGGGGTCACTGGGAGTTACTGGTCCATACTGGTCCATACTGGTTTATACTGGTTTATACTGGTTTGGGCTCTGGGGGTCACTGGGGGTCACTGGGAGCCCCGTGGGGGGTCACTGGTCCATACTGGTCCATACTGGTTTGGGCTCTGGGGGTCACTGGGAGTCACTGGGGGTCACTGGGAGTTACTGGGGGTCACTGGGAGCCTCCTGGGGGGTCACTGGTCCATACTGGTCCATACTGGTTTGGGGTCTGGGGGTCACTGGGAGTCACTGGGGGTCACTGGGAGCCCCGTGGGGGGTCACTGGTCCATACTGGTTTATACTGGTTTGGGGTCTGGGGGTCACTGGGAGTTACTGGGGGTCACTGGGAGCCCCCTGGGGGGTCACTGGTCCATACTGGTCCATACTGGTTTGCAGTGGGACGGCACCATCCGGCTCTGGGACTTCCGGGAGCCCTGGCGGGACCCGGACGATGACGTCGGGGGAGGGGGCGGGGCCTGAGCGGGAGGAGGCGGGGCCAGAGAGAAAAGGGAGGGGCTTAATTAAAGGGAGGGGCTTTGATTAAGGGGAGGGGCTTTAATTAAAGGGGAGGGGTTTTAAAGGAGGCTTAAAGGGGAGGGGCTTTAATTAAAGGGAGGGGCTTTAATTAAAGGGAGGGGCAATTGAAAGGAGGGCTTTGAAAAGGGGTTTTGATTAAAGGGGAGGGGCTTGATAAAGGGGAGGGGTTTAATTAAAGGAGGCTAGGAGGCTTTAATAAAAGGGAGGGGCTTAATTAAAGGGGAGGGGCTTGAAAAGGAGGGACTTTAATTAAAGGGAGGGGCTTTAAGAAAGGGGAGGGGTTTTAATTAAAGGGAGGGGTGTAATTAAAGGGAGGGGTTTTGATTAAAGGGGAGGAGCTTTGAAAAGGGGAGGGGCTTAATGAAAGGGGAGGGATTTAAATAAAGGGGTGGAGCTTAAATTGAGGGGTGGGGTTTGAATAAAGGGGAGGGGCTTGAAGAATGGGAGGGGCTTAAAGAGGAGGGGCTTAGTAGGGAGGGCTTAATTGAGGGGCGGGCCTAAGGAAAGGGCGTGGCCTGAATAAATGAATGTAATTGGATGGAAGGGCGTGGCTTGAGTGAAGGGGAGGGCTTAAAGAAAGGGAGGGGCTTAAAGACAAGGGAGGGGCTTTAAAAAGGGAGGGCTTAAATAAAGGGGAGGGGTTTAATTAAAAGGGAGGGGCTTAATGAAGGGAGGGGCTTAATTAAGGAGGGTTAAAGAAAGGGGGGGCTTAAAGAAAGGGGTGGAGCTTAATTGAGGGGCGGGGTTTAATTAAAGGGGAGGGGCTTAAAGAAAAGGGAGGGGTTTAATTAAAGGGAGGGGCTTAAAAGGGGAGGGGCTTAAAGAAAGGGGAGGGGCCTAAAAGGGGAGGGGTTTAAAGGAAGGGGAGGAGCTTAATTAAATGGGAGGGGCTTTAAAGGGGAGGGCTTAAAAGGGGAGGGGCTTAAAGAAAGGGGAGGGGCCAAAAGGGAGGAGTTTAAATAAAGGGGCGGGGCTTAAAGGAAGGGGGCGGAGTTTCAATAAAAGGATGTGATTGGCGTTTATTTTGCATCTCATTTGCATACACGGAGCGCCGCCCACTCCCCTCCCAGTACAAACCAGTGCCCCCCCAGTCCTTCCCAGTATAAACCAGTAACCCCCAACCCCCTCCCAGTCCCCTCCCAGTCCATCCCAGTATAAACCAGTAACCTCCCAAACTTCCCTCCCAGTGACCCCAATCCCTTACCCTCCCAGTGCCCTCCCAGTACAAACCAGTAACCCCAAGTCCCTCCCAGTGCAACCCAGTAACCTCTCAGCTCCCTCCCAGTCCCTCCCAGTGCCCCCCAATCCCCTCCCAGTGCCCTCCCAGTCCATCCCAGTGCACACCAGTCCCCTCCCACTTCAAACCAGTTCGTCCAAGTGCTCTCCCAGTTCCCTCCCAGTCCCTCCCAGTACAAACCAGTAACCCCAAACCCCTCTCCCAGTGCCCCCTATCCTCTCCCAGTCCCTCCCAGTGCCCTCAATCCCTCCCCATCCTCTCCCAGTCCCTCCCAGTGCCTCCTATCCAACCTCCCAGTCCATCCCAGTCCCTCCCAGCTACCCCAAATCCCCTTTAACTCCTTTAACTCCTCCCAGTCCAGACTCAGTCCCTCCCAGTTTGCTCCAGTCCCTCCCAGTTTATCCCAATCCCCTCCCAGTCCCTCCCAGTGCCCCCCAATCCCTTCCTCAGTCCCTCCCAGTGCCCCCAAACTGGGACAGATCCTTTTTTTTTGTCGTTTCTGTGAATTTTTGTTGTTTTTTTTTTTATTATTTCCATTTTCCGAAAAGAAAAAAAGAAAAAAAACCACAAAAAAAAAAAAGAGAAAAAAAAAAAAAAAAAAAAACCCCAAAATAAACCTTCCAAAAAAGGGGGCGGGGCCGAGACCGAGGGGGGCGGAGCCAGAGCGGATGAAGCCACGCCCCTTTCCTCATTGACCACGCCCCCTCGCCCGTCCAAGGGCGGAGCTTGGGGAGGGAGAAAGGGGCGTGGTTTGAGTGAGGAGGGGGCGGGGCCTCCTGGAAGGGGCGGAGCCAAAGTTACCTGGAAAGGGAAGAAAGAGATTAAGCCACGCCCACTGGGGGGAACTGGTTTATACTGGGAGGGACTGGGAGGGCACTGGGAGGGACTGGGAGGGGATTAGGGGGCACTGGGAGGGGGATTGGGGGTTACTGGTTTATACTGGGAGGGCACTGGGAGGGACTGGAAGGGACTGGGGGCACTGGGAGGGACTGGGAAGGACTGGGAGGGCACTGGGAGGGACTGGGAGGATTGAGGGCACTGGGAGGGGATTTGGGGTTGCTGGTTTATACTGGGAGGGCACTGGGAGGGACTGGAAGGGACCAGGGGGCACTGGGAGGGACTGGGAGGGAGTTTAGGGGTTACTGGTTTATACTGGGAGGGCGCTGGGAGAGGACTGAGGGGTACTGGGAGGGAATGGGAGGTTACTGGGGTCCTTACTGGTGTTAGTGACTGGGAGTGACTGGGACGGGCTCAGGGATGACTGGGGGGTCTCTGGAGGGCTTACTGGTCCATACTGGTTTATACTGGAAGGGGCTCAGGGGTGACCGAGGGGGTACTGGGGGTCCCTGGGGGGCACTACTGGTCCATACTGGTCTATACTGGTTTATACTGGTTTTTACTGGGAGGGGCTCAGGGGTGACCGAGGGGGTACTGGGAGGATTCCAGGGGGCGTTACTGGTCTATACTGGTCTATACTGGTTTTTACTGGGAGGGGCCCAGGGGTGCCTGGGAGGGTTCCAGGGGGGTGTTACTGGTCTATACTGGTCCGTACTGGTGTGGATCTCACATGGTCTGGGGGGAGAAGAGCCCCGAGAGCGTCAAACACTGCGAGGCCAAAGTCTGCGAGGCCAAGTTCAGGGCGGGGCTCAGCGCTGGGGGAGGGGCACAAAAACATGGGGTCCCCAAATTTTGGGAACGCCCCAAAAACAAGGTCAGAAAACGCCCAAAATCCACCCAAAAACCTCCAAAACTCCCCAAAAAATCGTGCAATTCCCTTAAAAGTACCTGAAATTCCCCCTCTCAAAAAAAATTCACCGCAGAATCCCCTCAAAACACGGGGTCCTCACATTTGGGAACCCCTAAAAAACGGGTCGGAAAACGCCCAAAATCCACCCAAACGCCCCAAAAACTCCCAAAAATCGTGCAATTCCTTAAAAGTACCTGAAATTCCTCCTCCCAAAAAAATTCACTCCCAGAATCCTCCCCAAAAACACGGGGTCCCCAAATTTTGGGAACCCCCAAAAAAAACCGGGTCAGAAAAACGCCCAAAATCCACCCAAAACCCCCCCCAAAAACTCCCCAAAAAATCGTGAAATTCCCTTAAAAGTACCTGAAATTCCCTCCCTCCCAAAAAAATTCACCCCAGAATCCCCAAAAACACGGGGTCCCTAAATTTTGGGGAACCTCCCAAAAAAAAAAAAGAGTCAGAAAACGCCAAAAATCCACCCAAAAAAACCCCCAAAAATCACGAAATTCCTTAAAAGTACCTGAAATTCCACCCTCCCAAAAAAATTCACCCCAGAATCCCCCAAAGAATTTGAAATCCCCCAAAAATTCCCCAAATCCCCCTCAAAAAAACCCCCAAAATTCCACCTAAACAAAAAATCCTGAAATTCCCTCAAAAAAAACCCTGAAATTTCACCCAAAATTCCCCAAATTTTGGGGAACCCCCAAAAAACCGGGTCAGAAAACTCCCTAAAACCCCCAAAATTCCACCCAAAAACGGTGAAATTCGCTCAGAATTCCAAGCAAGAAAAACCCTGAATCCCCCAAAATTAACTGAAAA